GCCTGCCCCTCTTTCCGCATTCCATGGACCTTTGTCTTCCACCTGATCTCCACTAGAAGCTCCTTGTTTAGCCATGCAAGTCTCCTGCCTCCTTTGCTCGATTTCTTTCTCAGGGGGATGCACCGCTCCTGACCATGGAGGAAGTGAAGTTTAAAGAGCGACCAGCACTCTTGGACCCCCTTGCCTTCGAGAGCCTTGGCCCACGGGATTCCTCCCAGTAGCTCCTTGAAGAGGCCAAAGTTAGCCCTCCTGAGGTCCAAGGTTTTGATCCTGCACTTATACGGAAGGGGAAAAAACCCTCCGTTTGAGAGCCACTGCCCGGGGCAATGTGCTTTTCCAGCTGCCAGAAAAGTGTTGCTGCTGGGGACATTTGTTATATCCCTGTTCCCAAAGAGTCAGGTAAACCAGGCCCCACGTTTCACATTAACGTGCAGAAGTCCTTTCTCAGAGACTAAAGGGAACAGTCTTGTAGAAGTCTCCTGTATAAAACACATCGGGGTGTGCTTCTCAGCCCATTACACACCACTAAATACTTCCTGAAAAGGCAGCTTGTACTGAATTGTATAGAATTATTTTTATTGAATGCAATTACTCGACAGGAACACAGAGCAAAATTAATCTTGGTGTGGAACTGCATTCTAACTTAGTTGATCTAATACTTCAAAATAATGTGGTTACTCTTTGATTAATTTTTTTGCTCTTTCATTTATGAAAGTGGATAATCCGTATTTTCTCCCATTAGTTAAATAAACATCAAACACTTCTCAGCATCAAATTTGAAAATGTCTAAATGTTGCATTAATAGATGCGCTGCAAATGCATAGATTAGCTGCAGCTCAGAGCCAGGGAGAGAATTAACTGATGTACGGCGTGCAGTTGTATAAAACTGTTTTTTCTTTGAACAGTGGCATTTTTCATATTAACAAAGACACCTTTTCCAATCACCTCTGCTAGCACTGCTAAGGCACTGCCTTTACTACTCATAGACAGGTGACAGCAGTGTTTTACAACAAGGTTGTGAATGGTGTGGTTCCAGACACAATTTATAAGCACCTGATGCTGCAAAATAAAATAACTATTAAAAACCCGCTACCAAGCTGTACACACCTGCTCAGAACAGGTTATTACTTGTAGTACACGATGTTTCTTCAAGTTCAAGAATCCCTCGGAGCCCTTTGCTCTTATTCCATCACCCACATATGCAGGCAAGCACCATGCCAACTGAGAGCTATAAAGCAGCTGACACACAGTGGAAGATGATTAAACATGATGAACTGGATGCACTGCCCAATCAATAGGTCTTGCCGTACAGTGTAATCAGCCTGTCCATCACCGTGCCTTCTTACCCAATTCTCACTGTAAGTTTTTCATATGAATTTCAGTTTATAAGAAGCACTTATTTGGAAAGCCAGAGGCTTCAATCACTTCTTAAAAAAGAATACAGTAAATCCATATTATTTACTATTGTGAGGAAATCTTAAAAATCCCTGCTCAAGATCCCATAACCTCAGCCAGCATATTTCAGGCTGCTTTGGAAGAGACAAGCCTTTAGTCTGAATTTTGTTTAATGAAGACTGCTGTTCACTCTGTGACCTCACAAGAATGCTGTTTCCCCAACATGCAAAACTGAACAACATTTTCAGTCTGTGAACATCCCAATACAGATTCAGCCTACGAGAGGAAAGAAGGTTACTTGTTTTTAGCATAATAAAAACACCTGCCAGAGAACCGAGTGTGCTATTGTAAACAAGCCCTGAAGAAGATCAGAGAGCAGCCTGACAAAAAAATCACAGGCATCCATGGGAAGGAGAGTTGTGTCACTGAGTCCAGCAGATGAGGAGACCGCTCAGAACAAACAAGTGCAGCCATCCACTGCTAGAATTTTAAACCTGCCCTGGAGGACTTCACTTGATCAGCAAAGGCACAGAACTTAACACTAAGAAGGTTACAACACCAAAATTTTATTTGAGATTATTTTGTGCAACTCATGACAATATATGAGAAGATCAAAGCTTTTCCTTAGGACTGGAAGGGATTACATCACACAGAAAGTATCTGCAAGGTAGGGAAAAAAAAAAATCTCGGAGTCTCCTTATCAGCTCCCCAGCCAAGACGTACTACTTGAATGAAAAATGGTTGTAGCCTGTGCTACAAACAACACTGCAAAACACAAATCTTCCAATGATTTGACTTTTACAACACACGTGTTTCTGCCATCGAGCAGACTTTTTCCTTGGAAGCGCCTTAGCTTAAGCCAAGGGATGGATCTTCTCTTCTTGGGGAGCATGCAGCCTTGTTATGCAGGGAAAGTGTGTTTCAGATGAATGATATCTGACGAAACCCTTTTCATTTCACTGCCACCTCGTCAGGCCTGCCTGCAAAGCATGGCAAAAACCTGGACACCTGGGGAAAGGGACATTTCTGCATTGCACAGAGATTTCCAGGGTAGGAGGATCTTCGCTCCCCCTCGGCTCTGACACTGGGATTTGAGCCTAGATGTCTTTGGCTTAGTGCTCTCATCTTTACTGGGAGAGATGATGCGTTTGAAAGCCTTTTTGCATTGTTACTGCAGTGGTAAGGGCACTCTGAAGTTGGGAGCAGTAAACAAATATTTTCATTGTACATTTGGAGAACACGGGAAGCAGGGCGCCAACAGCCGCAGTCAGCAAGCCCTCCTTAAGGACCTGCCAAAATAACTATCTGATCTTTACTGAAATTATGAACCTTCTTTAGTGACAACAGCATACATCCAGAGTTCAAATAAAAGAGAGCAGTCTTCAAGACAGAGCAGAGCAAACGTGCTCCTTACCTCACACTACTCTTGGTCATTCTCTTCCCCCCAGAGCCCTGTCCTGACCTGCTCAGTCGCCTCCAAACTCACCCCAGGAGGTGTTAGGGTCTTCTTGCAGGGTGTCCCCACATTTCTCTCAGCTGCGTTTCTGCAATTCCTCTTTTCACGCAGCCAAATCTCACAGATCCGTGGACATAACCAATTTAAGGCAATACTGGCAGGAGGACAAAAGAGAAGAAAAGGTCAATCTCCAAATTTGCCAAACACCCCAACTACCTGGAGGTTCCTCGTTAAACCTCACTTATTCCCAAGCAATTTTTCAGACTCCTCTACCTGCCACCCGAATCTTGTTCTTTATAAGTAGACAAAAGCTATGAACAAGCAGAGAGGGAGATAAATGCTTTAAGCTACAGGGCAGCACAAGTATGAAAACAAATGATCATGAACTGAGCAGGCATACATTAGGTCTTGCAGCTGGCAGACTATTTGTAACCACAAAAATGGGGCTAAAGACTAAAACTAAATTAATTTTAAGAAAAATTCTGATCAGTGAATTAAATGGATTATGGAACATTATAGCAGGGAACACATCCCTGTGGCCCAAAATACTTATTTCAGTAATGCATTACTGTAACATTTGTGATACTTCCTTTAACTGTTTCCTTGTGCCTTGTTTTCTGTTTAGATTGTCTGTGAGATTTGATTAGGTGAGAAGCTGAAGGAAGAGAAACAAGGTTATGAAGTGCTGTGGCCAAACTGCATTGGAGGGCAGATAATCTAACACAGAGGGAGATAAACTGTATAACCCACAGTCTATTCACACTACATGATAAAAGACAGATGATCTGATATACCTTCAAGCATGATCTTTCTTTATCCCTGAACAAGGGACAAAGAGGGAGAGGGACATTAGGGCCATAAAGTGTTTACCTCTAGTATTGGCAGCAGCAACCATGTAATTCACCCTTGAGTGTTCATTACAGATTTGTTGCTGTGCCTCCTTCATGTAGAATGGGTCAGAATGTAGGGTCCTAATATTTGCCTTCTTTGCATTATTTTTGAAATTTCAAAGCCTTATGTTCATCAAGATGATGGAGATTGGAAGTGAAGCACCTGTTTTGCATTCTGCAGTTTCTGCCTGTGATATTTCATGTCACTCGTGAAGTACAAGAATATAGCATTCACTGCTATACTATCATACAGAAACAGCCATAATTTGCCCCTTAGCGATTATAAACTACTACTATATTTGAAAAATAGGTAAACACACCATGCTGTATTCATTGTCAATAACAGCAATGTACTTATTCACTGGCCAAAGCACCAGTGCTAATTTGTCCCAAAGACTGCGTTTGAAGCCTGTTTACTACAGTGCATATCTGGAAGTCCTTCGTGTAGCTCATTTAGTGTTTGCATACGCCCAAAGTCCTTCAAAGTCACAGCAGAGAAACACCAACGTTGCATCTATCTTGTTAAACACAGAGGTTTCCTCAACGACTGTGTGGCACAAAGAACTTCCATAAAGAGTGAAAAAACCACTGAGATTGGAAAAAAACCAAAAAAGTCCAGCAAATAACATTACCTGATTAAAACCTTCATGTCTGACATTTACCACAAGAGATGTATTTTCTATCTGCCATCAACTCTTCAGCATCAAAACCACAGATTTTACTCAAGGTTCTGCACATGGCCCTAACCTTAAGGACACAAATTCGAACATAACTTTACATCTAAATTAGCATACTGAAGTATTTCACATCAGTGAAACCACCTCACTGAAGAGTTATTGTTCCAAGACTGCAGATACTTAAAAATATCTCTACCTCATATTTTTCTAAGTACTCCCAGTCACACTAAATAAGTGGGATGAGGTACAAAACCTAAGGCCATAACATAATCCTTATTTTTAAGACAGCTTGAAATATGATTAGCCAAATGCTTAGCTGGTATGAGTTACTCTAGGTTCAATAATGTCAGTCTCGCGAGTTGAGAGTTCAGCCTAATGTTGCTCTGTAGGGGACCTGGCTGTGTCAGGCTCCCTGAAGGTAAAGGTCTCTGCTTCAGGAGGGATGGAGTGACTGATGGAGCTCACTCACTGCTCCTTTCCCAGGTTACAGAGGGTGGGTGATGCTTCAGCAGGCAACAAACACCTCAGCTGTGGTTCAGACGGAGGCTCAAATACCTGGCAAATTGTTGGAGAAAGGAGAGGGGTTTTTTTCTGAATCTGTACCTTGTCTCCTATCCTCTAACCTTTCTTCTTCAGTTCAGGCTCTTCAGATGGGGATTCTTCAGACCTTTCCCCATCACATTTCATTTGGAGTAGCACAGGTGCAGGCTGCCAATAGCCTTCTCAGGAGCTCTGTGTCAGGCACCTCTTTCTGCAGCCTTCCCAAATCCTAGTGGTATCTCTCAAGAACTTTTCTGATAGTC